GTAAGGGTTGCAGGATCCTAGACAGAGTCCCTTAGACTGTAAGAATCTCAGGGAGAACTGCAAAATATTATGAAGCATCTAGATTCAATTTGCATTTTCAAACAAATTAAGACACAACCTCCCCCCCCCCCCCCTACACACTATATAATGGCTGAATGGCATATTGAGTGTTTATATGTGAACAGCCAAAACAGGATCATCCATGTTGACATATTTAAAACAGTTCAAATATAATAAATTTTGTAAAATTGTGATATTTATACTACGACAAATATACCTATACCTACAGTATTTATTATAAATATCAACACACAGTCACACACAGACTCACTCGTTTAAATCCACATCTATAAACACAGTACACAGATCCCAAACATTCCCTTGTGAAATTACTGAAATAGCTGACAAACCTTTTAATTTCGACGGCTTTGAGGCTCAGTGAGTTTGAGTGAACCACCAAAGATCGTAAAATATTTCCATACAATGCGAGATACAATGTTCCATTAATACTCCCGCCATTATATAACAATTCGACCATAAAATTTATCACTGACTGTTCTGATTGCGGGCGAAATGCATCAGTCAAAAGCGCATTATTTTGATCGCGGGCTAAACGCATCAGTCAGCATCCATTTCCCAACGTTACGTAGGCATGAAAACAATGGTTTTCGTGACGTGTCGTTGGGAAAACTCGGCCAAAAGACTCGGGACCGATGCGCCACTGATGCACTTTTCTCCCCAACGTGACGTAGTGATACACTGCCGGCCCCAACGTGACGTAGTGATGCATACACTGAGCTGTAATAATAGTGGATGCATCAAACTAAACACCGACATATGTGGCGAAATAAAGTCGCGACACAAAATCGTACAACTTGATAAGTGCGAAATTTGATATGCGTTTACGTTTTTTCATAATATTTTGCGAAATATAGCTGTGTTTACATTCATTCCTGTGAAAATATATTGTTTTGAAGGACTTTGGATCAAAGACAACCAATATTTAAATATATTTTAATAAAATGTTGACAATTCTCGTTCTTATGAAAATTTTGACTGATGCACTCGCATCAGTTGCATCAGTCTGAATCCGTGCCTGATTCTAGACTGTACTGCACGAGTTTTAATACATGTAAGGTATATTGTGGACATTTGACGAAACCTATCGTAAGGAATTAGGAGGTTTTATTTCACTGAATCGAATGGTAGTATTTCTGTCTTCATAGCATGCACCGAACCGAAGAAATGACCTTGCAAAGTCATAGAGTTGAGAGATTTGAAGACAAATTTAATATAGTGTAGGCTATTTATAATGACAATACTCGACTTTGAACAAACAAATCAATTTAAACTCTTTCAAATACATAGTAGCAAGATATTTGTAGTAAGTAGCCATAAAGTAAGTAGCCATAGACATAGTAGTCTTCATAGCAGAGATATGAACCCTGTTTCCCTCGATATTCGCAACTTTATTAAACCGGTTCATCACATCGATAATAACACTGAATATATAAACTAAACTTGCAGATATAATCACTTTATATACTGAAAATTTCGGGTAAAGCACTAAAGCCCCGTTCACACTACGCTCGATTTTTTTGGTACGGCACGGATAAAATTGGTACCCGTACCACTTTTTTGGTTCTTGTACTACCTATTTAGCTAAGACCCGTTTACACTACGCTCAATTTTTGGTACCGTACCACTTTTTGGTTCTTGGACTACCTAAATAGGTAGTCCAAGAACCAAAAAAGTGGTACGGGTACCAATTTTATCCGTGCCGTACCAAAAATTGAGCGTAGTGTGAACGGGGCTTAAGACACATCTTTGAGTAGCCTGCTCGCAGAATCGAAGATGTTGAACATTAATGAACACTATGAATTTACCGCCTTGACAAACCGCTACATAAACATACAAAGCTAAATGTATTTATATTATTGTACACTTTGACTGGATTGACTCCTTGTATTAGGACATTGAATGACCTTGAATTAATGTTGTTTTGACCAATCGATTAGTGGGCTGTAAACTCATGAAATACCCCAATATCGAATACTAAAAAGTTCAACGCCTTCATGTATGTCAACCGAAAGAAATAAAACCATCCTTACCTGAATTATTCTAAATGTTGTAGATCATTTGGATCCATATTAAAAACCTCGTAAAATCTTGGGAACTGAAATAAAGACATAGTTATTCCAGAAAATGCTCGTTTCTTTAATTCCTTTCCACCCATAAATATATGAAAACTCGACCAGACCACATGGAAAAAACATGCGCACGCAATCAAATATATTAATCGAATCCCCCCAATCTTCGAATGTACTGTTCTCCGGAATTACGACAATCAGACAGACACAAGATCGAGATTCGAGTTCACATAGATCCGCACGAAAGACTGGGTCGAGTGAGCTCTGGCTAATCCTCAACAGGCGTCAAGAATAGTGTGCTGCCTCGCTGGCGCTCGGCAGCAATTACCAGCTCGCGAGTTCGTGTTCACCTTTTTTCCCCCTTTTGGATTGGATATTTTCTAGTGTTCCTGTTTGGCTATTTTTATTAATAATCTAATATAATTATTATACATACCTATCACGTTAAATAATTTAATTTCCTTTTTGAAATTATGAATCAAGAAAAAATTGTCAACACATTCCATGCAAAATTTCTTACATAGACTATAGTGACTACTGCATATGCATGTTTCGTATGTACTATATATATTGCGTATATAGTCGCGTTTACAGTTGAGACCTTTAGGAAAGTCTCAGGTCAGCTGCGTTTTGTCAAACCAGTGGTCAAACACCGTCGCATATCTCCGGTAAACTGATGATATTTAGACTTCAGTGCAAAACCGCTTTAGCGTCTTTGATTTTGTTAATATGGAAATCGATAAGACTTGAACCATTTATAAACACCAAAGTTATCTATTTTGTTTGTGCCTCTGTGCGTGCGTCTGGACTGATAAATTAAATACGTGGTTATTAATTCTGGTTGTACTGACGTTTTTGTATATTGTTTGCGGCTATTATACACCATACAGATCCGTTGAAACGGTCGGCGAATATCGTTCAAACGGTTTCTTAATTTCGTTTGAACGGTCTGTTAAAACCGTTCGTGAGGGCGTTAAATTTTTTGTCTTCATCCGTTCGTATTTTTACTCAAACGTTTTCAAGATCCGTTAAAACGATTTAACAAAACATTTACTAACCGTTCGTTATCCGTTTTTTTGCCCGTTTTGATGCAAAATCGTTAACGTATGTTTTCCCATGGAAGGTCACAATTATCATAAACAACTGCATATCAAAGCAGCTATTTCCATCACCTTGGAAGATTGCTCGTATCTGTGCTATTCCAAAAGCTAAGAAGGTAACATCCAACAACGACCTCAGTCCTATGGATATCCATTCTTCCAACCCTATCCAAGATCTTCAAACGTCTGGTTCTTCGACTAATGTCTGATTTCGTAACCAACACAACTACTGGAGTACTTAAATAATCAGTTAGTGCCTACAGCAGAGGTCACAACACCACCACTATCGTGTTGGCAATGCGAGATGACATTTATCGAGCTAAGAAAAGAGGTGAAGTTACCATAGCTGTTCTTGCCGATTTCTCCAAAGCATTTGATACTGTTTTATATTCGACCATCTTGAGAAAGCTTCACCAGCAAGGATTCTTCAAAGATTACCTCAAGTGGGTTACAAGCTACCTCACTGGACGCCACCAGTTTGTACAAATCGATGACGCGGCGTCAAGTACTACCGATGTCTGTTTTGGAGTTCCACAAGGTTCCATTCTTTGTCCTGTTCTGTTCAACCTCTATGTGAACGATCTTTCCGACAATCTTGACACTAAGATATCTTCTCACCAGTATGCTGATGACACTTCCCTCTATTCCCATTGCAAGCCAGCTGATATAAACTCGTGTGGAAATAACATTCAGTCTAACCTTGATGATCTCTTAACCTGGTCTACTTCCAACAACATTGTCCTTAATCCTAAGAAAATGAAAGTCATGCTCTTTTCTACCACTCAGCTCTCTCGTGTTCATCATCTTGAAGAACATTCCATCCATCTTCACGCCAATGGTGTTGAACTTAAAGGGTAATGGCAATAAAAATTTTTATTGCTTTATCTGAAAGAGCATGAAAAAATAAGCCGATTGGCCGTTTACTGTTCTATTCTATATCATCTGGTTCCGAAGTTATGCGCAAAAATGTGCAAAATATAAATTGCTGATTCAGCACAACGTGTGACGTGATTGGTAGGGTAAGTATGTTTAATGAATAGTAAACTGAAACATTGCTCAGTTATTATTGGCTCAAATCAAATGACATTTTGCATACAGATTGTACATGATGAGACGCATGGGAAAATACTTCTAATTTTGTTGTTGGAACCAGATGAGATAGAATAGAGCAGTAAACGGCCAATCGGCTTATTTTTTCCTGCTCTTTCAGATAAAGCAATAAATCTTTTTATTGCCATTACCCTTTAAACAAACGAACAATACGCTTCTCCTTGGCACTGTAATGCAGCAGAATTTGAAATAAATGATTACGTAAATAGGAAGATTTCAGTGTGTTACGCCATATTATCTGTTCTGAGAAAGCCGAAATATTTAGCACCATATAATAATAATAATAATAATCATTTATTAATTTATAAAGCGCTAAAACTATAAATATTCTAAAGGGCTATCATTGCAAATTCAAATAAAATGTTATAAAGTATGAGATGATACCTATATATACATGTTTAATTAAAATTTACTATTATATTTAAAGATAAAATGCCGTTTTAAAAAAGAAAGGTCTTAAGTCTGTTTTTAAAAGTTTCCACTGTTGACGCCTCACGAATGTCAGCGGGAAGTTCAAATTTACTATTAAATTTAAAGATAAAATGCCTTTTTAAAAAGAAAGGTCTTAAGTCTGCTTTTAAAAGTTTCCACTGTTGACGCCTCACGAATTTCAGCGGGAAGTTCAAATTAACTATTATATTTAAAGATAAAATGCCTTTTTAAAAAGAAAGGTCTTAAGTCTGCATTTAAAAGTTTCCACTGTTGACGCTTCACGAATGTCAGCGGGAAGTTCATTCCACAAAAATGGACCAGCCTTGGCAAAAGCTCTGTCGCCAAACGTTTTTCTCATTGTCTTAGCAACTATTAGCAAATTTTGCTCATTCGAGCGCAGGCTGTAGTAACCAATACGCTTAGGTGTCAGAAGGTCTGAGATATAAGGCGGTGCATTAGCATGAAGAGCCTTGTACACCAGCAACAAAATCTTGAAAATTACCCGATACCGTACAGGAAGCCAATGAAGGCCAATCAAAACGGGAGTAATATGATCGAATTAGGGGATTAGACAGGCCACACGTGCTGCAGCATTGAGAACTCTTTGTAACCTATCATATTGAGACTGTGGGAGACCATAAAACAATGAGTTACAGTAGTCCAGGTGTGAAGTAACAAAAGCATGAACCAAAATCTTTGTTGTATCATCTGAAAGGAATTTCCTTATCTGCCGGATATTATAGAGGCTGCGAAACGCCTTACTACACACTGGTCGATAGCATCAAATGAGGCACTTAGGTCGATAAGCACCAGAAGCGTAACCTCCTGCCGATCCATACTGAGGAGAATGTCGTTCTGGACTTTTAGTAAAGCTGTTTCTGTTGAGTTATTTTCCGATACGCTGATTGATACTCGGGAAAAGGGGCATTTTCAGCACAATGTATAGATAAGTGAGAAATCGTTGCCTTCTCAGCAGACTTGGCAACAAATGGCAGGTTGCTTATAGGTCTGAAGTTTTCAAACATAAAATCAAGCCCAAATTTCTTCAAAAGAGGTAGAACTAGCGCTATTTTCCAATGATCGGGTACAATTCCTTCAGAGAAAGAGAGATTAATGATTTCAGCAATGATTGGGGCCAATTCATGACAACAGAGTTTAACCAATGATGTAGGAATAGGGTCCAACTTACTGGAAGCATTCGAAGATTCAAGGATAATCCTCCGAACTTCATCCTCAGAAACCGAAGAAAATTCATCCAATTTCACTTCAGGCAGATGAAATGGAACATTAGGTGGGTTAATGGAAATCTCGTCAATCATTGATTTCACGAGTTCAATTTTCTTACAAAAGGACTCAGATTTGTCAATAAGGTTGGAATAAAAAATTTTTCTGTTGTCATTCAATATAGCACTATAGTCATCGCGTACCTTACGATAAGCATTCTTATCACATTCAAGTTTCGATTTAAGCATGATTCTTTCCAGTTTCCTACGTTTAGCTTTCAGCTTCTTTAAACTATCATTAAACCAAGGAACCATTGGTCGAACAGTCATAACTTTCGATTTCAAAGGAGCATGCTTATCAAGAATAGAACATAGGGTAATATCATAGCATTTTGACATATCATTAACACTTGACCAAGTTTTCTGAAATAGATCTGAGGCGCATATATCAGCTTTAAAGGCATTGAGGTCAATATGTTTAACTTTGCGATAGCAAACTTCTTTAACTAGGATGTTTGGGCGAGGAATATCCAACAAACATTCAACAAAAAAATGATCAGACAAAGCAAACGTCGCCAAAGGAGAGGTGATTGTGACATCATTGATTGATCTAGTGATAATCAAATCAAGGGTATGACCTGATGAATGAGTTGGGACATGAACATGTTGGATAAGTCCAAAAGTATTCATTAAGTCCGCAAACTTTTTCGCGTCTGCTTCGGTTGGACAATCAACGTGAAAATTAAAATCACCTGTAATCAAGAGTACTTCGGGAATCATAACGATGTTCTCCAAGTATGATGAAAACTCTTCGAAAAACACATTTGATGAAACCGGGTGATCTTCCAAGTAAGGAGGTCGATAGATTGTCACCACTTTAATGGTTTGCTTGTGCACACAAACATTCCACTCCGAGAATTCAAACGAATTAAATTCCCCACAGTCACTGGATTTTACATTTAACGATTCTTTGCACAGAATACCCGTGCCGCCACCACTTCTACCAGACTGTCTTGGGAAAGATCTAAACACAAATCCTGCAGTAGATAGTCCAGCAATGCTGACAGAGTCACATTCCTTCAACCACGTTTCAGTGATAGTACATATAACAATACCGCTATCAACCATATGATCAATGATAACGGCGATCTTGTTCCTTACAGAGCGCGAATTAACACAAGCAAAGCGTAAACACTTCCGCAACACAGAGGTCGAGTCTTGGCAATCAATAGCAATTCGATCATTGGTTAGGGTCTTTTCCCTAGAGTTTACAATTGAATATTTACTAGGTTCGAAAAACTTGGTCCATTTTGAGTCATATTCTGTGTAGGGTAGCGCAAGGTGATTCTGACTGGTATTCTCATTGTCTCATCATGCGGTACACCACATACAGATGGATCAACCACTCTAGTGAGTGATGACGATGAGATGTTCGATATGATGGTGGTTTGATGTTCTGACGTTTTAAAAAAGGGCGTCGACCAGGGGAATTACGTATATTATTATGCCTTGGTGAAGTTAAAGGCTTTGAATTTGTTTGACAACCTTTATAATACTCGGTGTCGCGGTTTTTAAAAACACTACTACTTCTACTTTTAGTGTTGCAGAACGAAGTTTGGTTAGCCTGTTTTAGTGTTTCAATCAACGGTAAGCGACCTAACCATTCGATATTATTCCGTTGTGGAGGTGCTAAGACGAAAGATTTTCCAACATTTGGTTCTATATTGCTGTTATCATTGGTCGCTTGAGTGATTGGGGTAGCTGCTCGTTCTTTGGTAACAGAAATTGAGAGCTGTACTGCTTCAATTGAATCCTTTGAGTGATTATTCATTTCGGACACTGGAGGGTCAAGGTCAGAGTCCACGGTTGGTTGATTAACGTTTTCATGACTGTTATTAGTTTCAGGTGAACAGCCACTAGAAGTAATACAGACATCAGCATTTACAGTTGGGAAAGCATTTTCTTTAACCATTAGACTTTCCAGATCCAAACTACAGTTCGTATTTGATGTATTCGTTGACAGCAATTTCACTTCTAACTCTGAGATACATGATTTTAAATGCAAATTTTCACAGTTTAATTTGCATAGTTCTTGTTTATTTGACTTAATGATGTTATTCTGCTCAGAGAGTTTATAAGATAAATTTTGCAGCTGTGCCTCAACACTTTCCTTAAAAGTGAAAAATTGTGATTCAAGTTTGGCTAGATTTCCGTCAGTGTGTCGGTTAGATGGAGTAGACATGTCCGTCGGTTGGGCAAAATCAGGCAGCCCAAAAGCACTACAAAATGACGTGTCGATAAAGCTCTCAAGTTCCTTTATAGTAGAAGCATCAGAGCTTGTTAGTATATCATCGATTTTGGATATGTTAAATAGAGCATCTGTCTGAGATATATTACTTAAGTCATCGATATTAGACAAGTTAGTTAAATTCTCTGCGTTAGGTGTAATAGTTCTTTCAACGGACGCAGTTACAGCGCAAGCCACTTCATAGCAATCAGCTTGCTTAGGCGACGATTGAGGTTCTGAGTACTTTAACGTAGAGTTCGCTTCACAAAATTTTATTAAAACGTCTTTCAGCAAATACCCTTCCTTTCCTTGGAATAGGAGTGTTCTTTGTTTACCATAATACCAAGTAATTGTTATGTTAGATTTACAGTTTGATAACTTCTTAGAGTTCCCTCCCGGCGATTTCCATTTGCCGTTCAGGCCAACAACTGTCTCGAAGAAATATTTTAGATCTTCGAAGTTTTTATTCCATTTTAAACGCTTGCCATCATAGGTTAAGTCTAGCTCATCCTTATGAGCAAGGAAAGCGTCTGGATTCAAACTTTTTATACGAAAATCTGAACATTCTGCGGAGCAAAGACAAGCACGACCATACGCCATTTTGTAAAGAAGCCAAGTATAATATCAGGAAACAACTTGCAGAAAGTCTAGTTTTGTCAAAATTAGATTATAACGATGTTGTGTGTAATCCAGTCCCTGATTACTTACTAAAACGTTTACAACGAATGCAGTTGGCTGTTACAGATTTTGTATTGCGGAAATATGCCAGTATGAGTGGCATCCTCTCTCTTGGTTGCCTTCCTGTTGTGGAACGTAGGGACTATCATTTAGCCAAACTAGTCTTTAAAGCCATGCATTCCAGCGACTGACCCTCATACCTAAAACTTGACGAGTATGAGCCTTCAACACCCCTGCGCGCATCGTCTTCCCGTCGCTTGGTCGTTCCACGTGTCTCTGGTACCTTTCAAGACGAGGCTGCACGGGTGTTCAACGATCTTCCCGAAGACATTCGGAACAGTAATAACTTTAAAGAATGTTGCCAAAATTGTTTCGCTCATTTCAGAGACTTAGCAATGAACAAAATTAGCAACATTTAGTATGCAATACAATGTGCTTATGTTGTTACGTAATGTGTCCATTTTTCGTTTCGTTTTTGTCGTTTGATTATCTCTTGTAAAGTATAGGTCTCTAACATACTATAATATTGTAGTAATTTAATGTTGTCATAATGTATGCATGTAACCATTTGTTGCATAGAATAGCCACAATGTGGAAATGCTATTAAACCATTATTATTATTATTATTATTATTATTATATTATTATTATTATTATTATTATATTAAATATAGACTATCACTATATAAAGTTAATATGAATTTCAAATCTGTGTTTCAAAGTATTATAATAGTACAGATATTTACAAACATAAACATGCATAATCACAAATATATAAATTCAGGGATGTATATAGTTACCACTACAAATATTAGTTCCTCATTTGAAACATCAGCAACCAAACCTTGATGGGAGATTAATATAAAAGTAGTTTTCAAAGGAGATTTGTGCCATGTTTCAGAGCAGATTTGTTCTCACTGGCTCAAGGCAGGGACCCAAATCAATTGTGGCACCCCTGAACAAGGATGACAAAGTGACAATGAAAGTTGAATGCATTTCAGCCTGTCGCCACTTCAAATGGGCAAGACCAGGGGCCCAATCCCAGTTAAAGCCAGTGGTCCCTCCATCCCTTAGCTCTGCTCTACCCCCTCCCCTACCCCATTGCCAACCGCCAATGTCATATTTTTCGTCCTGTTTATGTTGTAATTGAGGATTCTTTATTACGCCCATCACAGAACAAGTACGTGAAACCTCCTTAACCTAATTTAAACACGCAATGCACCCCACTTTCGTATTTACTCTATCAAACACCATACAATTTTACTCGTCAAGGGAGTGTATTAATCACCAAGATAATAAAAAATTGTAGGAAAAATTATAGCGGTCATAAAGTAAAGGGGGGGGGGGGGGGGGGGG